GGTGTATATGGTCACCCTGAGAATTCTCCTGTAAAGCAACTATGTGAGCAGTTCAAGATAGAAAAATTGACAGGCTCTGGCACTTTAGTGCCACTTACACTACTTAATGGAACTAAATCCAAATGCATGGTACACATTTTCTTTCCCCAATCTGATCCAACTATCAATTTCTGTTGCCTTTCCTAACCAACCATAACTCAAACAGAAATAAACTCAAACAAGTATTTGAATGACTTATCTCTTTTTACTAATTTGTATTCTTAATTTTTTCCCCAAGGGCAATCATATTTGTACAATGTTCCCCAAGATTCATTCTAATTACTGGCCCTAGATTTCTCAGACACAAGATAGGAGATTCCTTTTACTATCCCTCTTTTTCCTATTTTGTATGTGGAAGATTCAGACTAAGGGAATTATATGCAGTTGAAACAGCTACAGAAAGTGTAGATGGAAACTCATCAGGAATTGATAATGGCTGAAGCTGAATTAGGAGGGCTCATTATATATGCTGTTCTCTCCATCTTTATAAAAACAATAATTTTTTTTTATAATATAAAGTTTAAAAACAAACAAACAGAATGCTCCTGAAGCAATAATCTGTGGAATCCAGGATTCCTGTATTAAGGTGAAGAAATGCCAGACAGGATAATGTGGGCAACTTATTACTTTACTGTTTATTATCCTGGACATTGGTATGGAGTGGAAACTTCATAGTCTGATATGGTAAACCTGAAGAGCCTGAGTACAGGAAAAGAACTGAGATTTATAGCAGCAAAAGGTAATTGCAGTTTTGAGTGAAGGAGAAATTCCTCCTTATGCAGGATGGTTTAAACTTGGCCTGGAGAATATAAGAATTTCATTCATGGAGTTGCATGGGAAGATTGAACAACTGCCCTCTTAATTGGGTCTTACTGGGGCTACTGGAACATAGTCTCATAACATGCTGGTACCAGAGGATGCTAAAGTTAGGAAAACAAACTATTTTAAAAAGTAAATTTGGACCGATCAGATAATGGTGAACTTAAATGATCCCCTTATGGTCTGAACTTCTCTTGGCCTGGAGAAAACTCTAACCTTAAAAGCATACAGAGAAATGATATGATCAATAACAGGGGCTTACAATAAAGGCTGAGAAAAACAAACCATAAAAATTTGGCTCATAATGAGACTGGAGAGTCTGTCCAAAGTGGATGGTAGCTTGTTTCGAGAGGCCCTCGGGTGTAGCTATATTTCAGATAGGAGATATGGGGAGTGTTATGTGAACCAAGTTAGAGTTTCCCCCAACTGTTAACCCAGCCTGATCCTTCACCTAGTAATAAAAATCTGCTTTCTGAAAAATAAGAAGTTATCCTGAGAAAAATTGCATTGACCTCACTCTCTAAGCTATATAAATTCTCCTCTGCCTTTTGGGTGGAAATGGAAAAGAATCGTTGGAGCCCAGGAAAAAAGAATTTTATTAATAGTCCCAAGAGAGAATAGCATTACCCAATATATAGTAGTATTAAACCAATTGTCCCAGCTGGGAAAAAGAAAAAAAAAGAAGTAATCTCTTTCCATGGAGGAGAGTTTGGATTAAAACTCCTTTTCTTCTGGTCCTTTTTTATGCCCCATTTCTTTCTATGGAATATCACAAAAAGGAGGTCTTTCCTTGTGTCATATATACACATGCACACACACACACACAAAATGAAAATACAATTCAAAGCATCCTACTTATCATTTATACAAACTAATTTCATAAGAAAAGCTGCAAAGTGTCTCTTCCCAGGACTTCATAGTCCCTGTTGTTAATAATAGCAATAATAATTGTCTTTTGTGACAAGAAATAAGAGATTCTGAAAGGAAAAACATAGGGCTCAGGTAGTTGAGGAAATCAGTGACAAAACTGAGAATTAAATTTCTTTGGTCACGTCTCAAGCCCTTAGACCTTCCTATGGTGCAGCTGCTGATCTAGTCCACCTCAGAGTCACTCCATGAATTCCAAGCTTTTTTAATGGATCGTGAACTTCCTTTATGGGAAGCTATTAGATATGTGAATCTTTTCTATCGGCATATTATTTCTCAGATCCCAGAGCAGTTCCTCAAACCTTTCTTTTTATTTCTCTAAGTTCAGAGATTTCTAACCTCTCTGAGGATGAGAATCTCTTTCTAATGCGACCAACTTGAGTGGACCCTCACCTGACTGTACTTGTTCTTTTTGTGTCTCTTAATGAGAAAAATTCAATGTTAGAAAAATTTAATATGACAAAAAACTGTCATGAATTCAAATATTTTTAAGTGAGCTTGTATTTCATTGTTCGTAACATACTTTTGAAAACAGTAACACATATATGTGGAGAACAATAACTTTAGATATACACAATGCTCGGTGAGAATATAGATTCAAAGACCCTTCTGCAGCAACTGATTCCCTTGCTAGTCAGGGGTCCCACATGTCATTATCAGATGAAATTTCAAGAGACATAGAAGCATTATTCTAAAAACATAAATGTAGAGAGCCAAAGGATGATGTTTTTCAAAAGCTGCCTTAAATCCCAAAGATTTCAGATAAATTCTCGCCCTTCTGCAGAAGAGAAACTGACCTTATTTAAGTCTCTACTGGAGACCTTTGGAAAGAGGAAGAAGTAGTGATCTCTGTTGAACGAGAGCAGAGTGATAGTTCACCTCTGTGTTCCAGAGCATCTTTCTGATTTGGTGATTGAGTTAGGCAGAGAGAGAATGAGAAATGGACAGAACTGGGCAAGACCCAGTGTCATTATGAGACATCATTTGGAATAAAATGGAGTCAACAGTTAAGAAACAGCATTTTCTAGGCCTATTTATTCCAGTTAATGTATTGAAAGTGAAAAATTAAATTGTCTCATCTCTGGCCACCATTCCAACCATCAACATCTGCTTGGCTGTATCATGCACTCTCTTTTTTGGAGCCATAAGTATTAAGAAAAACAAATTAAAAGAAAATATTTTTCTCAAGTTGCCAAAGGATAATTCTCTTCAGAAGTATCCCAGCAATAAGAAGTGTGGCAATTCTTCTTAAAAAATTTCTCTTGTACTGATTTACCTAGTGAAACTGCATGTTGTAGGCAAATGCCATCAGTATTTTTTTTTCAAGCCCAGGAATTTCTGTTGACAGACTCTTTTAGACAGCAATTTCAGGAGGGCCCACAACTGAACAGCCGAGCAGAAATTGTGGTTCTCTATTTGTTAAATACTTTTCAGGTCCTTACATAAAAGGTTGATAATGAAGTATTAAGAGAAACATCTCACAGGCTGCAGTTGGTCAAATTTCTCTGCATGGTTCAGAGGGGAAGATGACCTTAGGCAAAACCCTGATAGTTTCATTATAAGAATGATCAAGATTTAATGTTAAATTTAAAAATCACTTCTCAAATGCTACCAAAACCAGACTCTTGGCAAAGCATAAATGTTAAATTCAAACTGGGGCTTATAGGAAAAAGCAATTAAAATCTCATTGCATTGTAAAAGAGATTTGTACACTTTCTCCTCAAAGTCAGGCAAGACGAGAAGGGGTTCTTAAACTCTGTTTTTAAATTAGAACTTTCTTTCACATCTCTTTTTTCTTTTCGAATCCAGACACTTGAATTTGGACAGACAAGCAACGCAGCCACCTTTCAGTGAGGCTGTGTCAGTATCGGAATGAAATGAACATGACCCCCTCCAGCAGGGAAGGGAACACACAGTAAAGGTATTTTTTATAGAACAATTCTCCACACTGCCCTGGTGACTAGGGAAAGGAATCTCGTGTTTCTCTTTTGCTGATACTGAATCAGCTGAAGAATACCATGAACATCAGTAGAAATGCTCTGAAATAGTCTCCTCTCCCTTTTGTCTTTTTGTTCTCATGAAGGGGAGAGAAGATTTTTTTTTTTGAACGTTGAAATATTTAATTAAAATGCCAATTAAAAATTGACCAATTATTTGGTAGTTCAGTTTATCATCAGAAATGTTGCAAATTATTACATTAACTTGCAAATAGTTGTTTTAAGTTAGCATGCTTCTTATCAACATTCCAATAAAGATGTTTAGACTCATTTATGATAAGAATACACTCTCAATTAGCACAGCATGCTTATTTCAGCAAAGAAACTCCTATTCTTGCTTTCTTAATAGTATATGTAGCAATTGAATTCATATCTCAGTTAAACAGATGGTCAAAATGAGAACTGATAAAGAGAGACTGAGTTTATATGTGAATTGGGGAGAAACTCCAGACACCCTAGCAACCTGCACTTCCCAGGTTGTACTTGTGCATGTAATCGTGTACTTGCTTACTACCAGTTACATGTACAGGTACTTTACGTGATGTGATTTCCAAGAGCTAAGTAAGAAAGATGATAATACTATCTATCATTTGTACAATGGTTTACAGTTTACAAACATTTCCACCTACTTTATCTTGTTCTCTGAGTGATTTAAAAATTTTTGTAAATTGAACAAATCAAATTAAATCTAATTTCAAACATGTTTGTTAACCTAATACCAACTGAGTAGTTCAAATAAAATTTTAATCTCTAGGAAATGTCAACATAAGCAGTTCCTTAGAAGAGTCTGAAAAAATTAAAGTCAGAAAGTGCAACATAAGATCCTGTTGAATTTCGTCTCCAGCCTTCACCTCAGACCAGATTCAACACACAGTGGAACATGCTTTGAACGACCTCCTCTCTTCTTCACAATGCTGACATCAGGATTTGGTAAAAGGGTTACTGTCCATTTTCCCCCAAACCACTTGGAATATTTGGGGTAGAGCAATTTATAAAAATAGGAAAGGTTTCTCTTTTAGCCCATTCCTTTATGGGTAGGGGTTTTTAAGATTTATTGAAATCGGCCACAAATTTAGGAAGAGCCCTACTCCATAGAATGTTTTTTCCCAGGAGAGACTTCAAGGCTCCCTACAGTTCTGGAAATGAAAAAGAGCTGTCTCCAGTATATTACCTACACTTACCTATTCCCAGTTCCAGGTAGGAGTCCAGGTTACTTACCAGGTGTGGCTGAGTTGGAGGACACAGGTGAAAAGAAAGATGCACACAGAAGACTTCCTAAGAAGCATAATCCTCTGGAGTACAGAGAGGGAAAATTCTAAAAAACTGGGAGACAGAAATAAGATGGGGAAGTATTCTCCTCAGTGACAGTGGGATGGAGTTCTCCTCCAAGCCCAACGTCCTTGGTGTGTAAGCGATCCCAAACAGAGTTAAGGGGAGGTGAAATGGAGCTGCCAAACTTCCAAAGAAGAGATTATCTACTTAATTAAAGTTTTTCTTCCCCCTCTAAGTCCTTCAGCCAATCAGCACTCAAGTGCCAGAGAAAAATTTGAGTCGATCAAAAGAACACTCCAGGATCCTCCCAGACAAATGCAGAAGAAGGGGACGAGGAGAAAGAGGACAAAGAAAGAATGGGGGGGGGAGACATAGCAAATCCCCTCCACATAATCACGGCGTGGAGTCTCTCTTTCCTCCCTCTCGCCGATCCCCTCCCACCACACCACAGCCTTCCCCCACCCACGCACACTTGCGCGCGCGCACACACACACACACACACACACACACACACACACACACACACACACACAGCCTGTCCCCAAAAGGAATTTAGAAGGGACTGTGCTTTCCCGGTTGTCCTTTGTAGTGCTTTGAGACTAAATTTGCAGTCAGGATAGTTTTTTCCAGAAAAAAATATACCATGTACAGTTGAACCTCAGGCCCTCTGATTTGACAATGTGGGGATACAACCCAACCGTCTCACGCATTCTCTCTCTAAAGTTAGAAAGGTCAGGAAAGTTCGGGAAGCCTAGTGGTTTCTTCCTTTCAACTTTTCCATCAAACATTGACTTCCTGAATGCCTTTATATTTGCAACCCTACACTAGGCATTATGGAAATTTTTTGAAACCAAAATATGATTTTTGCCCTATAGACATTTACAACCTAGTAAGGTGATAATGTTAGAATTCAATTTAATAAAGTATTATACATAGCTACAAATGGACTAGAAATTCTATAGGCTTATTTAGGGGAGGTTTTCTGAAGAAGGTAGAATTGGGTTTCAAAGAAGTGATGAGATTTCAATAGGCAGACAAAAGTGACCTCAAAATCCCTCCCCTCTCAAACGCAGATGGTGGAGCCAGGAGTGTGCCCAAGCCCTTGCTCACCCTCTCTGAGTTGCTGTCCCTTCAGCTCCCTTAGGGACGAAAGGTTGCCGCCATCATAGTACAGGTGTTCCTCAAAGGGCCCCAGACTTCCTTCCCTATGGCTGCGTCTTCTATTTTAGCATCCATGTCACCACTCTCAAGGGCTCCCCAGAGATAACGATCTGTCTTTGTTCTTTCTTTCTCCACGTTCCTGTTGCTTCAGGACCCTCTCTGACCAGATCTACACTGGCGAACTGAACCAGAAAATAAATAATTATTAAATTATTATGGTCTAGATTATACAAAACAGATGATTTAGGGGTCTTCACCTTAACGTTCTGACTTTGTAACTTTGCTGTGTCCACTTGGAATCTTCTAGAGCAGGCCTGTTATTTGGGATACCCAACCTTCTTGTGAGATGAATTCAGTTAGTTTTGACCTCCCCGCCCCCAAACAACTTTAGGTCCTTCTCTCTTTTCATACAGAAAGGGAGCAGCAGAGTCTATTTCAGACCTGGAGTCAAGTCCTAGGAAGGCCAGGAGCGCTGACTCCTGAACTTTAATCTTGACTCCCCTGGCGACCACAGGGGCAGGGTTCCTGCCAGTTACTGACTCAGGAATCTCCAGCGGGTAGAAAAACTTGTAGGAGGTAGAGCAGATTTGGGTGCTTTTTGTGTGGAAAGGGAGAGCTAATTTAAAACAAGTTCCTTGAGGCACTGTCCTACCCCCTCAGAATTTCTTTCACAAAAGAAAAATGTAATACTTTCATTGTTTTGTACAAAGTTAAACATTATAGAAAGTTAAACATGACAGAAATATGGAAAGTAGAGAAGGTGAGTTTCCTTTCATGACCTTCCCTTTCCCCTCCAGGATAACAACTGTTAAGTCTCGGGTGGTCTTTCAGGTTTTTTATCCCATATATGAATATAAGTAGGTATATAAACATTTTTTACAAAAATAAGATTATATAAATTATATTTTGCAAATTGCTTTTCTAATTTAATAATACATTATACAGCTTTTTATGTTAGGGCCTAAAGATCTCTCTCTCTGTTTTCCTAAATAGTGAGATGGTATTAATTGTCGGGTGTGATCTTATTTTGTTGAATATTTGGGTTGCTTTCAGTCTCGTACAGGAATTGAGGGGCTGGCCGTTTAGCTCAGTGGTTTAGACTGTGGTGTTACAACACCAAGGTCAGTGGTTTGGATCCTGTACTCGACAGCCTCCAAAAAAAATGGAATTGTCAACTTTTAAATGTATTTCAATTCAGATTTAAGTATCGCTATTTTAATCTCTTTGATACTGGAGAATAGAGTCTCTGTCTCACTGTCTCAGGTATGATGGGTTACATGTAAAATTATACGTTCTTCCCTACTTTTTCATTGTTTTCAACAGTATAACCTTCTTCTGTTTTTTAAAAACAGTATAACTTTCTTAATTTCCTCTCATTATCTCCAAATCCTAGGTCTGGATTTTCCTCTTGGTGCCTTCAAATCACGGGTCCCAATTAAAAATGAACTATATTTGTATTATCCCTCTTAAAATGAACTCTATTACATCATTCAATAACTTTCACTATTATAGATATTTGAAAAGAAGATGTTCTTGGATCGCCTAGGATTTTTGCCTGCAGCTGATGTATCTAAGCATTTTACAACCAAATTTCTTTTCTTTTCTTTCTTTTTTTTTTTTTCGGCTGGCTGGTATTGGGCTCCGAACCGTTGACCTTGGTGTTATAACACCACAGTCTAACCAACCAAGCTAACTGGTAAGCCCAAATTTCTTAACCTTTTTCTATCCTAGTTTATCATCTGAAGGTGTTTGCTTGGTAATATTTTTTTAGATCTAAAAATGTGAAAATTAAGGTAGAGGGCAGAAAAGCAATATAGTGAATACTCCTAGTGATATTACTCTTTTAAATTATTAGTAGGGTGGCTGGTTAGCTCAGTTGGTCAGAGCATGGTGCTGATAACACCAAGGTCCAGGGTTCAATTCCTGTATTGGCCAGCCACCAAAAAATTTTTAAAAATAGTAGAAGTAATGCCCTGATACTACAATATTGTTTAATCTCCATGTAAAACTTTCACAGTGGCACAGTTGCTTTGTTTACTGAGAAAACATGGAAATATTAATTTGCCTATATATTTATTTGGCCAAACCTTAACAGCCTATGATGTATCAGGCCCTGCTTAAGATCCTGAATTATATTGACAGAGGAGGCTGCCACCACACTTTTGGTCTTCTGCAAGAACAGACTAGTAAATATTGGAAAGTGCCAAGGAGGAGACATGCACGGAGCCCTATGGGGGTATGGATGCAGTATACCTAAAGGAGCAGGGGAGAGAGGCAGAAGGCTTCCTACGAGATGCAAAGACTTAGTAGAGTCTGAAAAAAAATGAATAAGAGTTCAGTAGTGAATAAGAGGAAGGGGGTTCCATGTAGAGGGAATATCAAAAGTTATCACAAATCTGTGAAGCAATAGGGTGCTTCTGGAGAATTATAATTAGTCCATTGTGGCTGTAATGTGAGTGACATAGAGATAGAAGGAAGGCAAGAGAAATTAGGTAGGATGCAGATGGGGAAGTGCCTTGAGCTAAAGAATTTGGATTTTATCGTCATGTAGGCAATTGGAAACCATAAAAGGGTTTAAGCAGATGTGTAACATAAAATTTGTATATCAGAAGTCTTATTTTAGGGCCAGCCCGTGGCTCACTTGGGAGAGTGTGGTGCTGATAACACCAAGGCCACGGGTTCGGATCCCATATAGGGATGGCCGGTTAGCTCACTGGGAGAGCGTGGTGCTGACAACACCAAGCCGAGGGTTAAGATCCCCTTACCGGTCATCTTTAAAAAAAAAAAAAAAAAA